ATAAAAGTCTGACACATTTTACTGCCTTGACATTGGTTAAATTAAGCCCACAAAAAATTAAATTCAATTATGAATAAAATAATTATACCAAAATTAAAACATACATAATTTTTCAACATAAAAGTGAAAGCTCCTACTTGCCATCCTATCAGTAAAGTCAATGGCCATATTATAGCTCACTGAACATCAATATTTACTGAAATATTCAAAGACAGACATGTAATAAATCAAATCAATTTCCAATGGAGTTTCAGTAGTTCAACTGTTTTAATAACATATTAAAATGAACTATTAAACAGCCATGTATTTCAGACTGTCCTGTAGTTCCTTTCTCATCCATGCTGATCACCAAGATATTTGTGTCTAAATAGCCTCTGGCTCGCTATTATAATTGGCTTACTCCTTCGTTCTCATTTCCTTCAGTGGTTCAACTATCCAGTGTTTGTAGCACTGAAAGTTAAGACTAGGGCAGTGAAGTATGATAGCACAAACACTGAACTGAAGTACGCTGTATGATCCAGCCTCCGTTTTCCCAGCTCCAAACTGGAGATAAAGATATTTCCCCTTTTTTTTGTAAAATACTTGGTTTTGATGGATGGAAATCAACTTGAAACATCAAAGGGTTGTTATTAAGCCTGACTGTGGTGATTCTAAAGCTGTTTGAGGCAAGGGCTGTTTTCATGTTCAGTTTTGTACAGGGCTGATCATACTGTTAATGCTCAGCCCTGTGCAAATATCCATCTGGCAAGATTGTGCCTAAAAGCTAGGGACCAGATTGTGCTCAGTGTTATGTGGGAATGTAAAGCAGAGGCCTCTGGGAGCCTTCCCTCTTCCAAATGGCCTCTTCTGGCCAGAGACAAATGCATTCCCAGTCCTTGCCCTGCCCTCTATCTCTGCAACAGCCAGTAAAACAGGCTTCCCACATGCAAGAAGCACCTGCTTCATCCTCTCAGAGGATGGAGTAACAGAGGATGGAGTAACAATTTGCTCTCTCTGCACTCCCAGGGGCATCGAGTCTGCCTCAAGGACACTGGGGCTGATTCACAGGTCCAGACTTGTGCAGTGCTTTCATGCTGGCTGAAGTGTATGGAGAATGCCACCTCCAGTGAGAGTGAGCGGAGAATTCTTATTCAGCAGCACTTCATATCCACTGCTCCAAAAGGCACAGTGGAGAATCAAGCCCTGTTGTCTCCATATTACCCCCTCCACACTGCAGCGGAAGGCTTCATGGCCACAATCTGCCCCTTCCTTTGCTACATCTTTGAGTACACCCCTCAGGACTGGATTTAAATGATTCTTGTTCACTTCATATTTCATTCTACATGGCTGTTCAAAATGGCATCAGAAAATCCTACATTCTTTTTTGGACAATATACCTGGTGCTGCTGTGACACAAACCCAACCGCTGGAAATATTTTTCCTCTCTGCTGTAAACTCTCCTTCATAGGTTTATTTTTCCCCCCAGTTGATGAATTTCAAATATTCCCCATGATTTCTTGTCATACTCTTTGAGGCCAGGTCTACACTACAAACTTACATCGATATAACTGCGTTGCTCAGGAGTGTGAAAAATCCACACTCCAGAGTGACCTAGTTATACCAATCTAATCCTTGGTATAGCTTCTCCCATTGACGCAGCTACTGCTTCTCGCAGCGGTGGATTCATGACACGGACAGAAGCTCTCTCGTTGGCGTAGTGGCATCTTCACTAAAGCACCCACAGCTGCAGCACAGTGCATGTAGAGAAGCCCGAAGTGAATCCTCTCCTTTACTGACCATCAGTTTTTTCTAGCTATAGTACGAATAACGTACTAAGAATCCCTCAAAACCACAATACAGTAAATGAAAGGCCCCAGAAAAGCTAAGCTGAACAGCACTCAACTGCCTCTTGCCCCTTCACAACAGGATCATAGCTACTAAAATCTGTACATACCCACTCTCATTTGTTCTTCGCAACATTAGTAATAAATCCATAATCTACCACAGTAGCCATGCTGTGATCACTAGTATAATTGAATGCAGTAAGAGAGATCGTGGGGACTTCTGGGGCAAAAATCCAGTGAGGAACCAAAGAACTGTTGTCCATTTGGAAATTCACATTGTATACAGTGGTCTACCCTCATGCTTACCAGTACGACAACCATTACATATCAGACTCTCTTTAAGGCTGCCATCTCACTTCAGAGAATGCAGTATAAGGCATAATAGACATGCTGGGCCGTGGGCTCTCTTCCACTATGTGGTATGGAGGGGAGTGAGTATTCGAAAGTGAAAAGGGCAGTGGAGTTTATTAATCCTGCACTTTCAAGGAACTAGATTAGATGATCAAGGAGGGTCTTTTCCACCTTTTGATTCAGTGAATTCAAACCTTAAAGGTGCAGAGCACCCTGAACTTCCATTTTAGTCAGAGGAGTTGAGGAAGCTGAGCATGTTACAGAATCAGGTCCACTTATTATAATATGGGTGCCCATTTTCCTCCAAGCCTGTGGTGTCATCCCTGCCTGAGCACCAGAGTTTGGGGGCTCCAGGGTATTTCAGAAGACGGGTCGGGTTGTGGGAAGGAGAAGTCAGGGAGCACCTGCTTATTACACCGTGATCTCTTCCAAAAGAAGGAGATAGCTGCATGTAAGCGAGTGTTGCCAATCCCAGCATTTCCTTATACTCTGCGCCTGCACTGCTGTTGGAGAGGAGAGTTCTGGGTAATATGGGAGCACAGTTCATGAGCCCAGAAAGAGAGCAGCACCGTAAGTCTAGTCTTGTGTGCAGAGATCTCTGCATCTGTCGGGAAGCAGCTTCCACTCTCTGCAGCTCCCCAGCGTCTGTGGTGTTTTGAGGCTGTGGCCTTGTCAGCTAATAACACTCTCCTCCCAGAGGGACTAAGAGGTTAGAAAGACCACAAGGTAAAACCTCATGGAATGGCCCTCAGCCCGCATCATGTGGGTTTCCCCAGGGGCAGGCCCAGGCAGGAACCATGCTAATTTTCCAGTGAATTACATAGTTGCCACCACTACTCACTTTCCTCCTCTTAAGGAGCTTTGCTTTCAATTTACAGATTCCGCTCCGCTGGGTTTTCCAGCTCAAATGGAAACCCTCTTTTCAAGATTTTAATTAATCTTAGCGTGGAACTTGAGTCACAGGTTCTCAGCCCAGAGACAAAGGATTTTTCAATGCAGAGCTTTAGCTGCCAATGAATGGGGTCATATTTTATAGTAGAGTGTGAAAAAATAATATTTTTAGAAGACTTTGACACTTTTAGGTGAGTTAATTTCCCAGAATGCCATTTTCTAGGCCCAATAAACTGTCAGGTGGAGGAAGCACTTTTGTGTTTTTGTTTTAGATCAGTCAAAATAGGAGCGTTTGAGAAGATGCCATGCAATAGACCATGATTATAACTGAACTTTTTGCCCTAAAGTTGAAATTCACCCCTTCCCTCTTCTCCCCTCCAATAAGGAAACTTCTTGCATATTGGTAGGTTGGAATTCATCAGACTCCAACAGGCAGGCTCTGAGACTGCAGCTCAGTCTCTACCCAGCCACTGCTCATATAATCTCTTGCCACCCTTTGCAGGACTTTAGGGCTTTTGGATCTGCATACGCACAGATATTATAACCCCTGCTCCAGCTGATTCCCCAAAAGCCTCTTCCACTGCGGCATATCTGAGATTTCTTCCTAGATAACACGGGTTTGTGACAACTCCACCCTCACCCCCTCCTGTGCACTGCAACACGACAGACTGATGTGGAGTGAAGGACTTTCCTGGACCTCTGCTGCAGTGAATTTAACCCTAAGGGAAGGGAAGCATTCCCTTCTCTGACTTGTTACATTCTTGACTGCTTCATCTCATGGAATTTCCAGACAAAGGCTTGTCTACACTGGCACTTTACAGCTTTACACTTTTCTCGCTCAGGGGTGTGAAAAAAACGCACCCCTGAGTGTTGCAAGTTTCAGCGATGTAACGAGCCATTATAGACAGTGCACCGGCGCTGGGCACCAGTAGCCATGCTCTTAGTGCTGGTAGCTATGCCCCTCGTGGAGGTGGGTGTTTTAGAGCGTTGGGAGGTCTCTCCCAGCGCTGTGCCATGACTACAAAGCCGCTGTGCCATGACTACAAAGCCGCGTTAAAATGCTGCCATGGCAGTGCTTTAACGTTGCCAGTGTAGACAAGCCCTAAGAGAGCCCATGCACTCAATGAATGCAGAATATGCAGTCGAGACTTTTGCCTTCCAGTGCAAGCCCTTGGGAGCTAGTTCAGTCCTTTCATCAGGATTTTGTGGAGTAACAAGCCCCAAGAGTAGGAATGCCATGAATACCTAGTACAAATACTTGGGGAAAACCCAGCAAAAAATCACCACTATGACGTTAATGTCAGAATCACAATGATACATTTATATCATAGCACATCTAAAGGATCTACAGGTCCAGAACCACGTTTGTGGCTTTTCTTCTTCTTGCCTCAAGAGAGGCACACTCCTACCTCTTAATCCCTGCCTCAGTGCTCTGGTGCATAAAAAGGGGTATTATTACTTGCCTATCTCACAAGAGAGATGTGAGGCTTAATCAATTAACCTTTGTGAAGTGACTTGAGATCCTTTGGTTGAAGGCTTTATATTAGCGCTAAGCACTCACAGAAATGTTGGACTGGAAGTGATCTCAAGAAGCCATCTGGTGCATTCCCCTGCACTGAGGCAGGATTAGGTATACCCTGGCACTTATGGCACTCCCAGTAATGGTCCAGGACTGGAGGAGTGTTAAGTGCCCTGTTCCAAATCTCGTCTCCTATATGCCTACATGTAACTGAATGTACCCCTAGCCAAGCCAGCCTCCCAAAGTCATCTACAACTTCACTTCTCTTTTCATAGGGGTGTCTCCTTTCCCTGGAAAGGTCCAAGCTGCTATCATCCTTCCCCATCCTCCCCCCGTTCCCCAGCATCTCCTCTCTCTAGAGTGAGGGAACAGCACAGAGTCCATGAACCCCACCCCATGAAAAGTCTGCAACTCACCTTGGAAGTAGATGCCTGACTGGATTTGGAGGACCCTGGGGAGGGTTCTTGGATCCAGGGAATGGATGAATTTTGTCAGGTTTGATGCCATGGTCTGTGTTAAGGCAGCACATGCATTTGGTGTCTAAAGGCCAGCAACTTCTGGGAAGCCCGCCATGGTACTCACAGGAACCGAGTCTGGGACTTCTCTCAGAAACTTTCTGTTGCTGGAGGGAGGCGTGGGGAGGAGAGGTGAGGGAGGCGCTTCTCTTCTTTACTATGATCGCCACTTCCTCCCACTGTGGCAGCTCAAGGGGTGGTGGGGGGCAAGAGTAGGTTGAGCAATACCACAAGAATGGGCATCAAATGACACGGCTAAGTTTATACTGCCTAGTGCTTGGGCATGTGCCAATTTAGGCTAAACGAAGTGCTGCTTATGTTGGTTGCAGCTGGTACCAAATGTAATAGGAAAGAGGAGGTCTTTCTCCAGAACTCAACCTAAAACAGGGAGTTATTTGGTTTGGTACCTTGAGGCACTAACTAGTCATCTGTCCACATGGAAAGGATTTTGTGTAATGTTAAACATATCTGAAGCTGGAAAAACAAATCACATTTATTTTGGAGCACAAAATACAGTTTTACATTTGTGCTTTTCAGAAACCACAAACTCTCTCTGGAGATGTAAAATGAAACTGTTTTTTTTTTTTGCTTTTGCTGCTTTTAGAGAGTTCCTGTGGTGTCGTGAGGAAGGTGCAGACAAAAATATGGGCCTCTTTGGATCTGTGCATGACAGTTGAATTTAGTTATGCAGAATAGCCAAGATTTTCAAAAGCAACTAGTTACTTTGGGGCTCTCACTTGGCGTACCTTAACAGGGCCTGGATTTCAGAGGGTAGATGCCTCGCACTTTCTGAAAAATCAGCCTGGTTTAAGGTGTCTCAAATTGGGCACCCAAAATCACTAGTCGCTTTTGAAAATCTTTGCCATTGTTCATATATGAGTTTGGCTCCGCTATCTGTAACAACAGTGAGTAGTGCCATCGATTTCAATAGCAGTGCACGTAGGGTAAGGCATAAAGTCCATAAAATCATAGAGTCAATGGTAGGATTAGGGCTCTTCCTTGCTACACTGTTTCACACTCTACAGTGACAACAGGTTCTTCCCTAAGTATCTATATGGTGTCAGGATAAAGCAGCAAGCTAGCTGTGTAATCAGATGGGTGGGGGAGTGGATTGCCACCTACTTTAATTAATTAGCCTCTTACAGTTTGTATGGCAAATTCCACCTTCTCTGTATGTATATATATATATATATATATCTTCTTACTATATGTTCCATTCAATGCATCCGATGAAGTGGGCTGGAGCCCACGAAAGCTTATGCTCTAAAAAATGTGTTAGTCTCTAAGGTGCAACAAGTACTCCTGGTTTTTTTTGCGGCTACAGACTAACACGGCTGCTAACTATTTTAATTGTGACAGACTGACAATATCCTGAACGAACTTTATGGGATTAAGATAAACTTTACTGAGTTAAACTAAACCTCATTGAATTCAGATTAAAACCTTTCGAGTACACTTATTAAAGATGCAGTTATGGGTTGTGGACCTGCAGGTACCTTCCCTAGTTGGGAGGAGGAGGAGAATAAAGGTCCTCCATTATCAGCCTTAGAAGCCTCCTGAAGAGAGGTGCATATACTAGTTCAAAGTGGATACTTCAGAGACCCAGAAACAAAGAAAAGACTTTTGGAGAAAAAGCCGAGTTTAGGCTGACTCAGGGCCTTCGTCCTGATCCAGCAAATGGACAGGACCCTGGTCCATGGAGGGGCCCAGTCCATAGGGTAGGGTTGGAAGGACAGGTCTACTGAGGCCCCATAAGACTGGGGACTTGTTCTGAGTGTTGAAAGCCTGCTCTTGCCAGAGCCCAGATGAGAGTCTGGCAAGTTTACTAGCATGTGTGTAGGCTCTTTAACTGGTTTTCAGTTGTTTTATCTAATGCTTTTTATCTTGTATCTGTAGCTATCACTCTCTGAAGAGAAAGCAAGCAGGTGGGCTTAGGCAGACTGTCTTTGCTGGGAAATACACGGTGAAAGCAGGGAACTGTACAGCCTGGACATCCCCCCATGTCAGAAGGTGGAGAAAGAAAAGGAGGACTTGTGGCACCTTAGAGACTAACCAATTTATTTGAGCATGAGCTTTCGTGAAGTGAGCTGTAGCTCACGAAAGCTCATGCTCAAATAAATTGGTTAGTCTCTAAGGTGCCACAAGTCCTCCTTTTCTTTTTGCGAATACAGACTAACACGGCTGTTCCTCTGAAAGAAGGTGGAGAGACGTTTGTCTCCAGCCAAGAGAGAAGGACTGGGGAGCTGGAAGCCTGAGAGTGGGTGCCCTTGCTGGACCACTCAGGGGAAATACAGGTGCAGGTGCACTGCACTATGTCATCAGATGATGAGCATGATTGTGACCTGCTTCAGTACTGGGGGTGGGGGTTAATTCGTTTGCTTTTCTGACGTTTTAAAATTGCTTTCTATGTGTATAACATGTCTGAGCTGTCTCTTATAAAGGGGGAATGTTTGCAGCTCGTGTCCCCAAATCACAGGGGCATGGGAGCCAGTTTTAGGGACAGGGTATCTGCACCAGGCACTGGGTGAAGGAATGAGGATCTGATTCTGGGATGGGTAAGGGGTTGCTTAACAGAATGCAGCAGATGGTTTTGTGAGCAGGTGGAGAGATCACCGTTAGCAGCTGGTAACACTGCAGGGTAGAGGCATGAAAAATAGGACTTTGGTTCTAGTAGTGACAGCTATTATTGTTGTCTTACCTAGAAAACAGATGCAGGCAATTATTTACTAGCTTTATAAAAAGACCTTCCCCCATTCCCTTCCAGCAACACACACAGACACACACAAATTAAGCAAACATAATTAATCATGGGGAAAAAAATAATTTGCATTCCCAAACACCTTTCAGTTCAGTGAGAAAGACACACAATAAAGGGCTCCATCTCACAAGGTGCTGAGCAATCTGGTCCCAGTCCCGCTACGTATTTCTAATAATACCACCAACCTGTAATATGGCACGTTTTTCATCCATCCATTTCAATGCTCTTTACAAAGGAGGTTGGTAGCATTACCCCATTTTACAGATGGAGAACTGAGGCATAGGGAGGGGAAGTGACTTGCTTAAGGTCACACTGGAGGCCAGTTGCCAAGCTGGGAAAAGAACCCATGTACCCAGAATCCCAGTCCAGTGCTCTATCTACTAGGCAACGCTGCCTCCCTGTGAGTAGTCCCAACAAGTTCAGTGGGAATTTATGTGTGCTCAGATGTTAAGCATGCATTTTGCTGGATCGAGGCCAGAGTGCTCAGCCCCTGGCAGGATTGAGCTCATAAAATTCAATCGTCTCCAGAGGACCGAATGAGTGTGGAAGTTGGCTGAATTCTTCCATTGCCCCTAGAGGTCGGGGTCAATCCAGGTCAGAGCTGAGGTGCTGCAGCAGCATTGTGCAACGTCCCCTCACTTGTCCATGCTGTACTCGGTCTGTGGCTCACTGGCAGGTTTCATTCCTTAGGGTCACCTTTGACCATCACTAAATTGCTCTACATTTGATTTTTTTTTTAATCTAAATTTCTTTTTAGTTTCATCTGACATCGGTAGAGCAGATTTCCTGAAATGCAGCGCCATGATGAATACCTTAACAGCAATTTATGCAAAATTATAAATTGCTTAAAAGGCATTTAAATCTGAGTAACTCAATGTGTAAAGCATAAAGTACATTTCTCTCAGGAACAAAATACAGTAAAAGCTGTGTTATCCGGCACTTTATCAACCGGAAAGCTCTATTAACCGGCAGTTCTGGTATCTCCCAATACAAATCTTCAATCTAGTAACCAGGACGAGTACACTGCCCAGGAGGTTCTGCAGTTGCCCATTCTGCACTCTACCTTTATGCAAAAAGAGGCAAAAAACAAGTAAGCAAGCTGATAGCAGGGATTTTTTTCAAAAAAGCAGCTTCCAGGGTGTGTCATAGGGTCAGTACAGATTCAGCCCAATCTCTTACACCTTCTACATCAACAATGATAATTGAGGTTGATAATGATGCAAGACCCTGAAGTGCCTTCTGAATCATCGACGAAAGATTAAATTATGTTCAGTACAGTTTTAGTGTTAAGTGCATTTTCAGTGATCTGGGGAGACGCCATGCGCTGCCCATAGTGAGCGGAAGTACCATAAGATAACCTACGCTATAGAAAACTTTAGCTGTACACACCTGAGTGCTTCAAGAAAGCAACCACCCTGCAGTGTAGTTCTGCTACGGGATTGGGGAGTACCCGTATCCTATTTGATACTTGATTCATTTTACTGTATTCTAATGCCTTGAAAATTGGTATTCAGTTGGTAAGTTATAACTCTTAGTTAACCAGAATTTTCGATTAACCGGCATCCTCCGTTGCCCCAACATGTTAGCTAGCAAAGCTTTTACTGTACAACTGTCAGTTACCATAACAAAAATTATATGTTTACATTCATCCAAATCAGCAATGCCACCCACAGTTCATATATTAGCACAGGAATTCTAGTCTTACTAGCACATATTGTGGTAAAGTAGAGGTGCCCTTCTGTACTCTCTACAGCTCTAGGGGAGCTGTTTTCAGCTTGCTGTGTGGTGCAATGTGAAAGGACAACGAGGAGTCCTTGTGGCACCTTAGACACTAACAAATTTATTTGGGCATAAGCTTTCATGGGCTAGAACCCACTTCATCAGATGCACGGAGTGGCAAATACAGGAGCACGAATAAATACATGAAAAGATGGGAGTTGCCTTACCAAGTGTGAGGTCAGTCTAACGAGACAATTCAATTAACAGTAGGATACCAAGGGAGGAAAAATAACTTTTGAAGTGGTAATGAGAGTGGTCCATTTCAAACACTTGACAAGATGATGTGAGTAACAGTGGGGGGAAATTAGGTTTAGGTTTTGTAATGACCCAACCACTCCCAGTCTTTATTCAGGTCTAACGTGATGGTGTCCAGTTTGCAAATTAATTCCAGTTCTGCAGTTTCATGTTGGAGTCCATTTTTGAAGTTTTTTTGTTGAAGAATTGCAACTTTTAGGTCTGTTATTGAGTGACCATGGAGACTGAAGTGTTCTCCTACTGGTTTTTGAATGTTA